GGCCTTTCTTCGAGACATCCACTGAACCACAGTACGACCCCAGACAAGTCCCGTAACTCCAAGGGGGGAATCCCCTTTGTCATAGGACATGGACAGAGCAGTCTATTGCTTGCACTGCCCATTGCTGGTCATGCACTCGTTCATACAGCATCATTCAGAGGTTACAGACATTGCAACCCTAACCCTTGCCCCAGGGATTTACCAGGTTGTCTGGCTTACAGCCCAACCAGACCAGAAGGCCACCTCAGTCAGCATCCTGACCATATGGAAGGGCCGAGGGGGAATACCTTCATCAGGGACTACTATTCTCACCAGAACCAGAAGGATCCTTAGCAAACCAGATGGGCTTCTGAAAATTTGGAGGGCATCTCAGGCATCTCTGCAATCCCTTCAGTGTTGGCAGAGAGACTACAGGACCCTGAAACATCTCAGGGGGCACTTCCCCTGTAGTTTGCCTGCGCAGACAGGAGGGATCACAGTGAGGCCAGTACACCCGGTGTGGCCATCTCACTGGTCCCCAGCTGTTACGGATGAGCAAGCTCAAACAATAGAGATGCACCACACTTGGTGCCAGACTCAAGCCCTTTATTGTAGCCAGCGGCCAAGGGTGACTAGCACCCAGATGTTGCCCCGGCAACGGGAAGCAGTTTGATTTTTCTTTTTAAAGCATGCTCAGTTGGGGAGGGCTCAGGAGAGAACAAACAGAATCTTACAGAAGCAGAACCATGCCAGCTTTGTGGGAGGCACAAGGAAGTTTCACACACACTAGGTGATTGGTGAGCTACAGAACATCCTGCGACTAGCAAATTTATTGCCAAGCAGGATGTGGGGATTCTGGGTGCTTTGTTCTATCTCAGGTATAAACTGGCATTGAGGGACGAGATGGAGTCAGGCTGGCTATTACAATGCAGATTTAATATTTTCAGTGTGTAACTGCCTCTTTAGGAAGCTCATTCCCCTCAAGAGTCAGAAAGGTTTCACTCTGAAACACAGTCTGCCCCCATAATTTCTGTTCCCTGATCCTAGTTGTTCCCCAGGTATGGGTTGCTCTTAACCAGTTTTAAACAACAGCAGCCCTTTAGACATGATGAACAAGCTCTCGTGCTTCCTACATGTCATCTTTTCTAGAACAGGCAGTCCTCACATGATAGCTTTATCATGATCTTCACTGTTCACTACTTTTCTTAGTTATCCTTAGTAGAGTTCCTAGAATTTAAGACATTACTTATGGACTAAAAGGATCATCTTTTTTGGTGGGGGAAGGGTAGGAAAAGGGGTTGCGACTGGTTTGGTGCTGGCCTTGAATTTGCAATGATCTTCTGTCTCAGCCTCCCGAGTGCTGGGATTACAGGCCTGAGCCACCACCCCCAGCACATCTATTAACCCAGTGTGAAGGAGAAGATATCAAAGTGTGGCCTTAATGACAGTTACATTAATTGTTGATAAAGTGAACTTGTGCACAGTTAAAATGCCAGCAGATGGGGGTTGTTAGGAAAGGCTCTGCTGGCTAAAAAAGAGGCTGCTATGGGAATTGGAAAGTCTTCTGTTTAGAGTGAAGGCATTTAGTGCATCTCTTATGCTGTTTACCTTGACGTTTGTGGCTGACACTAATGTGGCCAGCTAACTCTTACGCGGTTAATGTTGACTAAGTTCTAGCCATTGCCTAAGTTCTTTGCTTTTATAGCTATATAATAAGACTCCTCAAAATCCAGTCCGAAGCACATTTGACATAGTAAAGACATTTTTAGTGAGGTTATTTATAGCACCCAATCTAGTCTTAGTGATCAGGGATCTATTGTTTTTTTCAGTGCTAATGGAAGGCTCAGTCTCTGAAAAGACCCATTTCTTTTTGTCTTTGCTTTCCATAGGGATGAGTTCCTTAGCAGCCTGCTCCACAGAAATCAGGAGTCCTGGCCTCTTGCCACTGACATTCTGTACTGTTGTGTGTGATAATCCTCCAAAGGGACCAGTCCAGTGCCAGAGGTTGAGTTTTGGGATCGAGGGTTTTATGTGTATAATAAGTTCAGAAAAATGAGTTTTGCTGCTGAGACCAAGGCTTTGTATTTATTTACCTTGACTTCTCCCTCCCCAGCACTTTAATGGGTGTCCCAGGGAGGACCATGGGAGTGATGTTCACACCACTGACAGTGAAGTATGCATATTATGACACTGAACGCATTGGAGGTGAGTAAGCTTCCTCTACATTCCTTGGAGGGCTTAGGGGCTGTTGATGGTTCGAGGTCTTTGGTGGTTTACAGAGAAACGATCTAAGGTTTGTGGTGACCAGAAGTCATCATCATCCTCTTACATAAATGAGCTTTGAGGAATTATTTGAGACATTGTTTTTAGAAGAGTAGAATGATCAGCATACATGTCCATTCATACAAGACCAGAGTCATTAGCATACTAGGTAAAGGGATTGGGTTGTCAGAAGGAAGAAAAGTCAATAGGAACAGAGCAGTGAGTTTGAGGAAGCTGAGTCCAGAAAGGGTAAGGGGGAGAGTTATCATTCTCTTGGTGACATGAATGAATTCCCTGTCTCTCCCACAGTTGACCTGATCATGAAGACCTGTTTTAGCCCCAACCGGGTGATCGGACTCTCGAGTGACTTGCAGCAAGTTGGGGGAGCATCGGCTCGCATCCAGGATGCCCTAAGCACAGTGTTGCAGTATGCAGAAGATGTACTGGTGAGAAGGGGACATAGTAGATTGCCGCTCTGGGCTCACCGAGGGGTGCGCTGATGAAATGCTGGTATAAAGTAGTGGGAAGAGTTCGTTCTGCCTTACTGAATCTTTGTTTCCGTGCTCAGTCTGGAAAGGTGTCAGCTGACAATACTGTGGGCCGCTTCTTGATGAGCCTGGTTAACCAAGTACCCAAGATAGTTCCTGAGGACTTTGAGACCATGCTCAATAGCAACATCAATGTGAGTTCTATTTCTGGGCTCTGGAACCTGCCTCCTCCCCCACCTCAGCACAGAATTGGGACTGTGAAGGGAGTTGGGTGTCGAGCAGGGTACAGTAGAGGAAGCAAAGCTTTACCTTGTCCACTTAGCTATGCAGGTTGGGAGGAAGGAATGGGTAGTACACATTTGAAGAGTTCCTTCTTTGATTAATTTTTCTCAGGTACTGCTGACACTACTGCACTTTGTTGTCTAGATTCGGGTTAGAAAGAAATGCTAAAATTCAGAAGTTATAAAAACACTATTTCTTATTTTTCCCATCTGTGTACCTAGATCCTCAGTTCTCCACCTGTGGATCCCAGCTAAAGCACCCTAGACTATTAGTGCATCAGTAGAGATGAGAAAGTGTCCTCAAGCATTTCCTTCTGTGTTGAACCTTCAGCTTCTCAGCCTCTGCCAGCTGTAGTTTTCCTGGAACTGCTCTCTCACATCCACTGTCAGGTGGAGCTGGCCAAGACCAGCCTTTCTACTCTCTTTCCGTCCAGCCTCTCACTTGTTTGTCCTTTGTCTTCCAGGACCTGCTGATGGTGACCTACCTGGCCAATCTCACACAGTCACAGATTGCCCTCAATGAGAAACTTGTAAACCTGTGAATGGGTCCCGGCCAGCACACCAGCCAAACTTGAGTCTCAGCTGTAAGGCTGAGCACTAAGCGGGGGAGAAATGGTTTGTGGTCTTGAGTCACTAAGTAAGTTAGCTGCTTGTGACTCTAAATAAACGTAGTCTACCTTTTGTAAATGAATTCCATCTGACGTGAGGTTATTCTGCTTAGAAAGAAGACTCTTTTAGAGCTCACACAGAAACCATAGCGTGAACACTGTAAGTAGAAACTCTGTATGTGTTGGACAGTACTTGTCATCAGCGGTTGCGCCTGCAGCCCAAACCTCTTTAGCCTCATGCCTCCCCACACCAGACAGCCTACTTGGCACCCCAGCTTTATAGTGGCACTCTTCCCCTTGCTCTTGTGCCTGTGATCTATACAAGTTAGACCTCCAAAATTTTTTATTTTTATCATGTCTGCATAGCATATTTCATGGATGACAATACAAAGGCAGCAACGTTGCCTTCTGCAGTGTTGAAGGACCTGGAAACGCGGTCTTAAGTGAGAGGAAAGGAAAAAGAAGAGGATGGACATGAACCTCAATCCTAAGACTTGTGAGTCTATGCTGTTAGAAAGACAGTTCTCTCCATGGTAAGGAGTAACTAGAAAAGTGTCTACTAGCATTACTGTCTTAATGGGTTGTCTGGTTTGCCCAGAAAATGAAAATGAGAATCCATAGAGAAAAATAGTTGAGAATCGGATGGTTAATTTGACTTAGCAAAAGATTGTGTGAAATAGTAGTGTTGAGCTCCTTGTCACTTTGACTCAGGGAGATAGTAGTAGAATCTATAGGTGAGAGTTTTAAATAATTTCTCCAAAACCTCAGAAAGTGCTCAGGTACTGCCTGTAACTCAAACGCAGCCTAGGGCTATGTTGTGGTCTTTAAATGGCTGAGGCTAAACACATCAAGGTGACACTTCTCGGCCACCTTGTAAGATTCAGTATTTGCCTGAGTAACTTCAAACATCCCTTTGAGCAGGTATCCTGGGATCGTACATGAACACCACATGATGTCTTAGAATAAGAAGTCATTCCTCAGGGAGTGAAGGGTTTATTGCATAGTGGAGAGAAAGGTAAGTGAAGGCAACTGGGAATCAAGGCCTGGATCCTCATTCTGCTTCTGAGATACAAAACTAGGAGAGAAATTCTAGAAGTCACAAGATGATGTAGATAGAACTTAATACATAACCCTTTAGGGTGACCATGAGGAATCAATGAATGAATACATGTCAGTTTAACGCTTGCATAGCATAGTGCCTCACATAGAGTAAGCATAAGTAAGTGGTAGGTTCTTCATCTAAGGCTAAATATAGTTTGAAAATAATGAACAACAGGAACCCAGCCCTGGATCTCATTTCTGGTTCTAAAATATGTAACCTTAAAACTACTGCATTATGAATTGTATTGAACAACAGGAACCCAGCCCTGGATCTCATTTCTGGTTCTAAAATATGTAACCTTAAAACTACTGCATTATGAGTTGTAGAGGTCTTCAAATGTGGATAGTAATGACATAGGTGTAGGGAAATGTAAACATAACGCAAAATAATGTTTATACCAAATGGAAAGGTTAAAAATAGAACACATAGTGGTAGGTTCTTCATCTAAGGCTAAATATAGTTTGAAAATAATGAACAACAGGAACCCAGCCCTGGATCTCATTTCTGGTTCTAAAATATGTAACCTTAAAACTACTGCATTATGAATTGTAGAGGTCTTCAAATGTGGATAGTAATGACATAGGTGTAGGGAAATGTAAACATAACGCAAAATAGTGTTTATACCAAATGGAAAGTTTAAAAATAGAACACTTATGAGTTGTAGAGGTCTTCAAATGTGGATAGTAATGACATAGGTGTAGGGAAATGTAAACATAACGCAAAATAATGTTTATACCAAATGGAAAGGTTAAAAATAGAACACAGGGTGGGGAGAGGATTGATGATAGTTAAAATGTTTGTGTTTTTACATTTTGTGTGTGCAGTTAATGTCAACTATCATCTTAAAATGCATTTTAAAATTTCAAAATTATGTTCAAGAACTATATAGTATATTATCTCTAAGTTAGAATAAGAAAAAAGCAAATAATTTCTTAGAAGTTGAGAAACGAACATGGGGTACATGAAACAAAATAAAATGGCAAAATAGTTACTAATAAATGTAAAAGTGTTAAAGTAGCCAGAGGGGGAGAAACATTTGAGTATGAAAGCTAAACAAACCCCAGCCATATGCTGTTTACAGAGACATTTTTGTCTTTGCAGCTATAAGTACCAGTAAGAATGAATTTTATCAACAGTGTTGAAACAGGCCAGTCTCAGAAAGTAGCACATGTTATGGTACTCATTAAACAAAAATAAGCAAAACAACTGGATTTAGACATATGTGTATATGCAGGTGGTTATTACTACCTATAGTGAGTTACTGTAGGTATTAACCAAGTAAATATTCAGGGGCTGAAAGTTACACACTAGCCAAGTATGTGGAAAACCCTAGGTTGATCCTTAGCGTTGCAAAAAAGAAAAGAAAAAAATGTAAATTCTCTACAACAGTTAGGAGTAAAGCTACCATGACATTTTTTTTTAAAGACTTTATTTAATATATGTAGTCTTCTCATTAACAGTGTGCCTAGGGCCAGCCAACTGCACCATTACTCATGCTTGAATAAAGCTTATCCGACCCGTATCTTTTCTCCAGAAGGCACATTAGAGCATTCTTGCACAGAACACTAGGCAACATGCTTGGGAACCATCTTAAGCAGTAAAATCAACACAAAAATGAAAAAACAGCACAAAGTAAACCATGAAAAGAGTACTTGTCATGAGAGCCAAAACAAGAAAGAAGTCAGATTACATAGAGCAGGCCCTTGAAGGGGATATTGATACCCTGGCATCTCTTCCTGCTTCCTTACTGCCATGAAGTGAACAAGCCTTCCTTCACCTGCTTCACCATGGTGTACTTTGCTGCCACCAGCCCAAGCAAGGGGTCAAACAACCATGGACTGAGCCAAAATAAAACTTCCATCCTTTTAAATTGGCCATCTCATGTATTTTCCCACAGTAACAGCTAACAACCAAAAATTTTAAACTAAAATTGGTGGTTTACCAAGTGGGAGTAGAATAAGTAAGTTTCTAATGAGATGGGCTGGTGGGTTCGTGGATATGAATAAAGAACCAAACGTGAACTAAAGAGACAGTTTTGTTATTCAGCTTTGCATGAAAGTGAATAGCCGTGCTTGTTTTGACAGCACATACGCTGAAATTGTAAGATTAATCACCATTGTCTTTAAGAAAAATGATAGAATACTGAAAATAAAGTGGAAAGTAGGAGGTACTGTAAAAACTTGTTATCCCGTGGATGTGATGGAAGAAAACTTCAAAGTGCTGATGAGAAACATTGAAAAGGCATATCTTGTTCTTGGATAAGATTCAGTTCTAATGAGATGGGCTGGTGGGTTCGTGGATATGAATAAAGAACCAAACGTGAACTAAAGAGACAGTTTTGTTTTTCAGCTTTGCGTGAAAGTGAATAGCCGTGCTTGTTTTGACAGCACATACGCTGAAATTGTAAGATTAATCAGCATTGTCTTTAAGAAAAATGATAGAATACTGAAAATAAAGTGGAAAGTAGGAGGTACTGTAAATGGGCTGGTGGGTTCGTGGATATGAATAAAGAACCAAACGTGAACTAAAGAGACAGTTTTGTTTTTCAGCTTTGCGTGAAAGTGAATAGCCGTGCTTGTTTTGACAGCACATACGCTGAAATTGTAAGATTAATCAGCATTGTCTTTAAGAAAAATGATAGAATACTGAAAATAAAGTGGAAAGTAGGAGGTACTGTAAAAACTTGTTATCCCTTGGATGTGATGGAAGAAAACTTTAAAGTGCTGATGAGAAACATTGAAAAGAGACATATCTTGTTCTTGGATAAGATTCAACATTATTTTGAAAGGTGTCAGTTCTCCCTAAGTTAAATTACATATTTGTCATAATCCTAATAAAATACATTATTTTTGATCTGGGCAAGTTGCTTCTGTTAATGTGGGAAAATAAATATCTCCAGATAAATATCTCCAGAAACATCCTACTAGATATATATATATCATAGAACTACAACCAGTTTTTTAACAGCCAATAATCCGATATACGTGTAATGTGTCTAAACAGTTCCCATCATACACAAGCACAACATGAAGAGAGGCTCACTGATAAAAATATAAATTAACTGGCCATTTTTATCAGGTTTTCAAATTTTAAAAATTGGTACCACTGTGAAGACCAGAGAAAGGAGAAACATTACATGGGCATATACTTCTAATAGGTGGGTAGCATCCTCTATAGAGGAATTTTGAATTTGTGTTTGTCAGTATTACAAATGTACCCATGACTTTGGAATTCTAATCTTAATTATATAAACTTATAAAGTGGAAAGTAGGAGGTACTGTAAAAACTTGTTATCCCTTGGATGTGATGGAAGAAAACTTTAAAGTGCTGATGAGAAACATTGAAAAGAGACATATCTTGTTCTTGGATAAGATTCAACATTATTTTGAAAGGTGTCAGTTCTCCCTAAGTTAAATTACATATTTGTCATAATCCTAATAAAATACATTATTTTTGATCTGGGCAAGTTGCTTCTGTTAATGTGGGAAAATAAAAATATCTCCAGAAACATCCTACTAGATATATATATATATATCATAGAACTACAACCAGTTTTTTAACAGCCAATAATCCGATATATGTGTAATGTGTCTAAACAGTTCCCATTATACACAAGCACAACATGAAGAGAGGCTCACTGATAAAAATATAAATTAACTGGCCATTTTTATCAGGTTTGCAAATTTTAAAAATTGGTACCACTGTGAAGACCAGAGAAAGGAAAAACATTACATGGGCATATACTTCTAATAGGTGGGTAGCATTCTCTATAGAGGAATTTTGAATTTGTGTTTGTCAGTATTACAAATGTACCCATGGCTTTGGAATTCTAACCTTAATTATATAAACTCAGATAACTGGCCATATATAGGAAATAAATAATTGTTGCAGTACTTGGTTATATCACCATAAAGATTTTAATTAACCCAAATGAGTATTACCAGAAAACATTATAGTCTATATAAAACACAATACTATGTAGTTGTTAAGAAAAATGAGACTATTCTGTGTATATTTATATGGACTGTCAAAAATACTATGGATTTTCTTCACGATACAATAAGTGAAAAAAGGAGAAAATGATGTCTATAGTTTATTGTCAGTCTATATGGGAAAATTACAGTAATACCTAGAATATTTAAGGGAATAGTCCAATAACAGCTGTTTTGAGACAAGGGACTGATTAAGGTACAAGGAATGAAGCACTTTGTGCCCTGTTAATGAAATACTTTTCAGAAAAGTTTTTTAAATGTGGAAAGACAATTTATGTACAAACTAAATAAGATGCAAAAGGATGGTAAATTCAGAGAGCACTATTGGCAAAGCATTCACAAGTGGCTTTAACTATAATAATTTTTCTTTAAAAAGTAGGAAGATAGGCATTCAAGACCAGCCTGGGCTACATAGTTCCAGGTTAGTCTCAGCTACGTAGTGAGACCCTGTCTCAAAAAAAAAAAAAGAAAAGGAAGGAAGATAGGAATTAAGAATGATAAGAATGACAGCATTAAACCTTCACTAGCTGTGTAGTGGGTACATAGGTACTTTTTATATTATTTTCCATAATTTTCTGTAAGCATATATAATTTATTTTATAAATTAGAGGATTAGCCTTTGTCTGAAAATTAAGCCACTGCATAGGTTTCCATTTGTATGTAGAATGGCCCAGAAATTAATTTGAGGGTCGGCCAGTATATCTTATTTCCAGGGGCTCAGTGCCACATCCCATAGTGTGGACCTCCTAGGCCTGTCCTCCTCCAGATCTCTGTCTTGCCTCAGCCACTCCCAGTTCAGCCTCTTAAGAGTAACATTTCAGGGCTAGAGTGATTCCAACCATCCCCTCATTTGGTAGGTGCTACTCAGCAGCTGACCCTTTTCTGAGAAATGTGGAACAGAATGGTACCCTTATCTCTCAGGACACAACTGGTTTAAGCCACGAGCACCCCAAAGCAGGATTTCTGGAATTGGGACCATAAACTTGTGTAGAAGTTGGAGGAGTCACCAGAGAGGGTGAAATGTGACCACTGGAGTAGAGCTTAAAGGTAGGAAGCACAGCAACACCAGGATAGCTTAAGAGAACTGCCAAAAGCTTCTGAAGAGAAGATCAGGATGATCGTGCCACTGGCTACTGGAAAGATGGGTTAAGTGGTCCAAGTGAGCAGTTCAAGTGTCCTACAGATTATCCCTTAGTAAAAAGCCAGGGAAATGGGAGACAGAACACATGAGAAACAAGGCCCCAGCACAGCTGAGACAGACCCACCACCTGCCTCGTGGGTGCTGTATGTATTCCCACTCCACGCTGAATAGAAAGTGGAAGCAGTGACCACTGGCAACAATTAGAAAGTTCATGGCTGAGATGAAATATCCACCATCAGAAAAAGAGGTGTCCAATGCCTGTAACTGTTACCCCCACTTGTCCACACAATCATACTTAATTTCTTCCGTGCTTATGTCTTCAATTTTATCCCAAATCTCTCCTTAACCAACCACTTTAGTGACCCAAAGGATTACCCCACCAAGTGTCTTGGTCAGCATTCCATTGCTGGGAATGAGATATCGGACACAGTACTTCGTGGAGGAAGGGTGTATTCTCATAAACTCGCAGTTTCAGAGATTTCAGTCCATGGTCAACTGGATCGGAGGCAGGAACACCATGGTGGAAGGAAGCTGCTCACCCCGTGACAGGAAACCGAGAGCAGGGAATGAGCCTGAGAGAGGAAGGAGCTAGGGTCAGAATGCACCCTTCAAAGGAATGCCCAGTGACCTACTTCCTTCAGCTGGGTCTCATCTCCTAACAGCCCGTTCAGCCATGAACTCCAACAGATGAATCCATTGATGAGGTCAGTCGTGCTTTCGAGATCCAGTCACCTTTCTAGGCTCCACCTCAACATTGCTGCTTTGGGGATCAAGCCCTCAATACACGAGTATCTGGGGGAGACTTCATATTAAACCAAAATATCAACCATTTCCCCCAACCCTGAAATTACTAATCCACTTACATTCCTCAAGTCATGCCCGGTTATTCCCCTGATTGAGCCACTTAAATTAACTGATCCTTTCAACAAGTCCTACAACTAAGGCAACCATCCAGCTCTATAAGCTGACCATCTCACTATTTCTCACTCTTCTCCACAGAAGTTTCTCAGTACAAGTTGCCCAGTGTCCATGATTTTCATTCCAACTGTTACTTCAACAAAGAACATTAGCTTCATAGGTGTCAGTGTATGTGTCGGTACCTTTCCCAGTGGGTTGATGCATACTAGATCACAAGCATTTTTACCTTAATCGAATCCTTTTCCAGTGGATGGCCTGACATGATCCCATAGAACTCTGACCTTGTGGACATATTGATTGCATTTTCCCTGAAGGAAACATACCAACCCCAAGGACCATGTCATCCCCAAAGAAACACATCATCCCAGCAATTGGGACCCTCTGCACAAACTGACTCTAATAACTGACTCTGAGCCAACTGACCAAGGAGCACACTGATCTCAAGTGGCAATGGATTCCTAAAACCATCTCTTAGACGTATCGTCATCACTGTTTAAACATTGAGATCTTCTTTGCCAGCTATCATGCAAGCCCTGGATGAATAAATATGCACTCATTGATAGCTAGGAGGTTGGTAGCAGGCGATTTCGAAGGTGTCTCTGTCTCCCGTTGGTGGCAGGAAGGAAGGGACAAGGCCCCTTTCCTCCCACTAAGCAGCAGCCCAAAAGGGGTCCTCCGGGTCTTTGCGTGTGTGTAGGTCAGGTGAGGTAGCAACACAGCCTGTCTTCCTTGCTTTCTGCAGGTGCAGGGAAGGGCACCCTGTTCCTGTGGCTGTCTCAGTACTGCTAAGGAAGCACATGATTGTCCCACTGTCTCAGGATAGGGGCATCCCACTCGGTACCTTTTGAAGAGGTAAAAAAAAAAGTCTCAAATTCTTGCTGCCTCTGCCAGGAACAAAGGATGTGCACATATAATGACCTTACTATGCCCTCTTAGGACTGGGAAGGGGGAACAAACCATCTCACCAATCTTGGCCTCTGTTTTTGAACAGTTTTAATTTTAATATTATTAGAGCATCATGTGCTTATTTTCAAGGATTAAAAATGTTTTAAACTTGGCCTTTCAATGGTCATTATTGTTACTATGGGTCCAGCCAAACCTTTTACTCACAAACTTAAAAAACCACGGCCTCATGCATGTTAAGCACAAGCTCTCCCACTCAACCCACCCTGGTTTTTTTCTTAAATGATTTTTTCAATTCTATTTCTTTTTTAACTAAACATCATAGAACAATCATTGTTTACATTATTAGATCTTTAATAACTTTAATTTTGTAAGTATTATGTAGATGAACTATCGTTTAAACTTTTTAACATATGAGTGATTTCTGATTGTGATGTATATAATACCGTGGTGAACAACAGTGTACAGATGTGAAAGTGTGAGTCCCTAATTAAGGATAATCTTTGACCACTTGTCTGTGTTGGTCTGTCATCTGAGAAACCCACACAGTGGCAGTCAACTTCTGCATTTGAAGGAATCTATTCCAAAGGCTTCTGGTTGCTAACTTTCTGCAGGATTTCTGCACTATGATAGGAAACAATGAGAAGCTGAGAGGGGACCAGAAACAACATTAGCCCACCTTGCCCTCCATGAGCCCTGCCATAAGATTTCCCTCCCTCCATTAACCCAAGCCAGAGCCCTTATGAAAACAAATTAAATTCTGGAGAGTGAGAAGGATTCTGGGACATAGAAATCTATGTTCGGTTCCCTTTTCCTAACCCCAGTCCTGAGCCAGTGGGCTGCTGGGCTCCCAAGAGAGAATTATTTTAGGGCTTCATTGCTCATGGGCCCAGAGAATCGTGGGAAGCCAGTATAGAGGAGTCCCTAGCAAGGACCAGAAAGCTATAAATCTTGTGAAGAATGTGGCTGACAAGATCTGTGGGCCCCTTGAGGAGTAGCAAGTATTGGGTCTTACTGGATTTTTGCTCTCCAAAAGATTGAAAAGCTGAGTGTTTTCTAACCTCAGGCAAGAGAGCAGGAGAGAAGGGTTCTGTAAGGCATGGGCATCTTGCCTGGTTCTACACCCATCCTACATGAGGAGACCATTTCTCTTCCAAAACCTCCTGAACTGCCAGCCAGACTCATCCCCAGAAAGCCTCATTTAGTCCTCCTTGGAGTACCAAGGAATCAGTTCTCACTGCACGTTTACTTGGCATGGGATATAACTATGACATCAGGCTTTGAGCATGTTTGATGAAGAAATTAGCATTTTTCTCACATACCAGTCATCAGCCTTTTAAGTGTGTTCAAACAGGACCCAAGTTGTTAGGAATTCACTTGTGGGAATGGACTTGCTTCTCATTGAAGTATCAAAGAATCCATGCACAGCTCAGTAATGCAAGTTCATACAGGGCCAAACCCATGGAGGGAAAGCAGTTGCCCATGGTAGTGACCTAGACTGTGAATAA